TTTTATATTATAATAATTCATATGGGGAAAAGTGCCTGATGATTATACCGAACACAAACATTAAAAGCAAAAAGTAAAATGCAGCATTTGAGCAAGTTCCTCTAAGTAGTTGGTAAAATAGTTCCTATTACCTGAACAGGTGCAATAACAGCACAAGGGCCACCTTCAAACTGTTCTAATGCAGATCCCTCTGATTCACTAAACACAAACCCTAAAAAATGAAAGCAAATAACAAAGGTTAAAATGTAATTCAAGTAGTGGCTACAAATACTATATATTTTTCAACATTTAAAAAAAAATTGTAGATCAGTTGAGGGGGTTATATTTCATATAACTGTATTTACTAGTTTAAACTATTAATCAAATGCCCTACTAGTTTACCTTTCGCCTCCTCTTACTGTTCTTTGCTTTGAAAAGATCACTTATCAAAATATCTATAGGTAACTCATATGTAGTGGTTCTCTACTTTGGGGAAGAATCAAGGCACTTTTTCAAAGAAGCTATCGAACTTATGTTCTCTCCCCAATACATACAAGTATACATATAAACACTTAAAAAAAAATCTCAGGTCTCCTCCATGGGGGATACACTACGAACTTTTTCAAGAAGAACACTAAGATTAGTTTCATAAAATACAGTTGTAAATGAAGTTGATCACCTTCGAGTCAAAAATTCACATATCACTCCTGTCTTCCCTAAAACTTTACTAATAAACTTACTGCTGACTGAAATTCTTACTGATAAAATAAAGTTAGCATATATTGTATATAAGTATCATACTACATTCTTATAATAAAAGAAACTATAGAAGTGTTCCTATGAAAAGAAAATGTTTTGAAAATGATGATGGCAACAAATGTACAAATGTGCTTGACACAATGGGTGTAGGTATTGATTGTGATAAGAATTGTATGAGCACCCAAAAATGATTAAAAAAACAACAAAACAAATAAACATACATATGGTTTAAAGAAAAGTATTCCTATGAAAACTGTAAAGAAAATCCAGCTAGACCAGAGGATGTACACTGGTACAGATAGGAGCTGGAAACAGGGAGTCCAGGACAGATAAACCCCTCAGGACTAATAATGAGAATAGTGATACCAGGAGGGTAAGGGTAAGGTGGGGGAGAAAAGGGGAACCAATTGCAATGATCTACATATAACCCCCTACCTGGGGAACAGACAACAGAAAAGTGGGTGAAGGGAGACATCGGACAGTGTAAGACATGAAAAAATAACAATAATTTATAAATTATCAAGAGTTCCTGAGGGAGGGAGTGTTGGGGAGGAAGGGGGAAAAATGAGAACTGATACTAAGGATTCTAGTAGAAAGATAATGTTTAGAGAACGATGATGGCAACAAATGTACAAATGTGCTTGACACAATGGATGCAAGTATGGATTTTGTTAAGAGTTGTAGAAGCCCCCAATAAAATGATTTTAAAAAAAGAAAACAAATATATATATATGAAAATTCAAATTTTAAAAAGAGTTCCCAATAAAATGAATAATTAAAAAAAGAAAACTGTAAAAAAAATGCATAAGTACTGTACTTACTGATACCATAAACTGACATCATCTGATTAGAGTATAAATTGTCTTCTCACTGAGTAGGCTGAGGAAAAGGTTGAAAAAGAGAGGTTGGTCTTGCTGTGTCAGGGATGGAGATGGAAGAGGTGGAGAGAGATATGAAGGCAGGAGAGTCAGGAAAAGCCAGTGTAATTTCAAACATGTTGTAATTTCTGGCTGTGGTGTAGTGATTTACATTATATGACTTTTCTAACCAGTCTTTGTCATTCCTACCAAATGACAGGTTAGGACTACACAAATATGAAGAATTTGTGGCCCACAAAAAAGGAATTGGGCAGACTGCTATTAATCTAAATAAGGTACATGACACCCATATGGAGGAGACCATGTAAAAAGGGTGCATGAAACTCTAACATGGGAATTGGTCAGTTTTACCATCCCACTAAGTTTAAAATAAGCCATCTCAGAAGCAGAAGAAGTGGAAATCTCACTATCATCCAGAAAGAAGAGCCAGTAGCCAGGTACAGAGCATATTCTTGGATCCTGAGATACCTGTATGATGAAATGCCTTGATCTAGGAGACAGAGTTAATGCTAGAGTAGTGGAGAGGTAACAGCAGCAAAAGTAGCAGTACCAAGAGTAAGAAACAGAGTGGTGAGCTTCCCAGTCTACACAATGTAAAAGCTGAGTACCTCCAGATAGGAGGTTCATGTGTGAACTGGGCTGCCTCCAGGCACTTAAATGACGGAGCTCAGTCCTCATACCCACAGAGCTAGAGTTGAACACCTTTAATCTGATGCTTATAGCAGTGAGTGCCCCTAAACAGTCCTCAAACATTGGCTAGGAACAGCGTGACTGACTAAGAGATCTAGGACTAGAGAAAAGCATGCCTGTGTGTATGGCTAAGAAGTATTCTGCCACTCTGGACTGAAGAACTGTATTATGAATATTTCTGATCCTAAATTGTAGTCTGTTAACTTTCCCAATAAATCCCATCACCATGAGTATGGTCTGTGTGGCCATTTGTAATAAATACCAAACCCAACATAGAGTGCATTGGGAGGGATAGTTGGAGTCAGAAATGGTAAAGAAGGCTAGAGGGTGGAGATATGCCCAACCTCCCCCTCATAGGTATGGACCCTGGATTGATAGTGAATTTGATTCTTCTTACCCCTAGTGAAATCAGAGGAGGTCAAATGTTGACCCCGCACCATTTTAACATTGGCTGTTGCTTCCTCACTTCTCTAAAATGTTTCTATATGGTACTAAACATTCTCCCACCATTTGCTTTCATTTCAGTGTTCCTGTCATGGCCAAAAGCAGCTTTAAATAATTGGAATCCTTCTGCCAGGTTGTCTAATCTCAATTTGTTTTCTGGCACTGTTTCTTCTACATCTTCTTCCTCATTGTCTGGCATAGTTCAAAAGCACTTTGCTCTATCTAGTCATTTGTTACTTCTTCTAGTGTAGTGTCTATTGGCTCTTGAATTTCTCCAAAATGCATAACTTGAAATTCTTCACATCTCCCCGTCCACACATACTTTTTTTTTTATCACAGTTGCTGTCATGATTTTCTTAATTGATTCTGGTCATAAATCCTCTGAATTGTGCACATCTGGATAGCATTTTCACCAACAGGAATTTACTGTTTTGAGCTGGATAGCTCTCATGGCTTTTTCTATAACAATCAAGGGTGCTATCCATCCAGATTTTCATGATGTCCTTTTTATGTGTCTTCTCTTCCTTAATACTGACTGACAGCCTCTCCACAGAACCATCACAAGTCTTAGTAATCTCCTTCAAGAAGCTCAATCTGACATGCTGTTTTGGGGACAACCAGGCCACACTTTGACACCGTCAGTGTTGAAAGACAATATGCTTCCTGATTTCAAGGACATAGCACTGATGGAACTAATGCAGAAAAAGGGTTCTCATTGTCCAGGTTTTCTATAACCAGAAAACTGGTAGCTGGTGTTTCTTTTCCCTTCAACGCTGGGGATTAGCAGCTTTAAAGATAAGGGCAGGCCTGCTCAGAAACTTGACTGCATTTGTACAAAACAGTGGGGCAAGCCTATCCCTTCCCACCTTAAATTCTGAAGCTTACTTCTTTTTCTATTATTAAATGTTTTGTTTTCCACAGAAGGGCACTTTCACTGGCATTAAAAACCTGTTCAGACTGGTATCTTTTGTTTCTTTTTTTATCAAATGATTTTATTGGGGGCTTGTACAACTCTTATGACAATCCATCCATCCATCCATCCATCCATCCATTGTGTCAAGC